TATATAATAAAATTCATCCTCAGAATTATATTAAAATAAGTGTTATATAGATTAAAAGTTTTTATGAAAATTAATATTTCTAAATATTGTAAAACAATTAATTAATTTTATATTATACATATTAATAAGTTATAAAATATATTTATAATCACTAATTTGTATAAATAATCTGAAATGTAACTAATATTTTTACATATTATCATTTTTAACGTACATCTACTTCAATTTACGAAATTAAAATTAAAACTAAACGTTTTCTTATCAATCCAAAATAAAAATTGTACTTATGAATAAGAAATGAATAAGAATGAATAAGAAATATAGCTATTTTAATATATAATATTATTCATTATTTTAATATAAATAAATTATGAATCATGATTTGAGCATTATAATGAATTTAAAATTATGTGAACTAATTCTAAAGATAAAACAATCATATCTATTATATACAAAAATTCAAAATATAGAAACAATAAATAACTACCTAATAATAACTAATTACATTATTGAAAAGACTGAATAATAAAAGAAATAATCGTTTCATTGTCTAATGAATTTCTCATAATTTTTAAATACGATCTTTAAACTCTAGTTTTTTTATAAAAATAGAACTAAGAAAAATGGAGATATCTCTATTAATACGTGTATACTTTAAAACTCAATATTGATTGCAGATACTCACGTTTGAGCACGTCAACAAATATATGATGCACTTTGATAACTTTCGAAAAGCACTCATAAAAAAATACAAAGCAGCGAGCATTGACGAAGCATAGTTTCAGAGATTTGTCCGTTTAATAACTGTTTCACACTAGAACTAATTGGGCAATTATTTAAGGAGGTTATAGATTCAAAGTTCCCCTATTATGTTGTTCCCCTACCATACTCGTATTTTTATTTTCTTGTTCCTTCTTTCCTCTTTTTCACCACAGTACCTCATGCTCTCTCCCTCCCTCCCTCTCTCTCTCTCTCTCTCTCTCTCTCTCTCTCTCTCTCATTCTCTCTCCATCTCCCTTTCTCTCCCTCTTCCACTCACCCCCTCTCACTTTTTCTCTCTCTCTCTATCTATTTCTCTTTCCAATCTCATTTATGTCTCATATGCATAAGGTTTCCCAGTTATAAAATAACAAAAATTGTCACTATTCTCTAACGTACGAATAATTATTCTCCTGCATCCGTTGTCTGCTGCAAATCGCTATTTACAATCGTAGCTGATACACTCAGAAATAATTAAATATATAAATGAGTCAATATGTCAATTCATTCTCATTCATTAATGTAAGAAAACGAATATTAGCTTAAGTCCTTACCTTCTTAGAAACATTCTTGCTCATTGCACTTCTACCATACATATAATTTTTCGTTATTATTATATTTTATTAATATAAATGCACCCAATAATAACTTATTACTAAATATGCAATTTCTGGTCTAGATAGGATTTCATGTTTTATGATACTAGTTTCTTCATTGAATATCGATCCTAGGTAATATTAAAAAAGTATAATATCTTTATTAATATTAGTGTACTGCACATTTATATTACATTAACAGAAATGCATAAATGTTTAACCTCCAATCTCCTATTAATTGTCAATAATTTACTTCTTTCTATATTTCAATTATAAGTGTAACAAAAATTTGATTCCAACCAACAATAATTATGTATAATATAGTTGAAATTGAAATGAATTTGGATATTATAATATGAAGTGATGAATGTAAATATAATTTGAGTTTTTCTGCTCTTATTGGAATTATGCAGCAATTTTATGATAAATTTAAAACAAATTACTGATCAGAATACACATATAAAGTTGTTATACAATATTTCATCGCAATAATTTTATATTTTTAACAAACATGGATTTTTACTATATAAATTACAAGTTGTTAATATATTTATTAAATATTTTAAAATATAAATAGGTAGTATAATAAAGGATTATGAAAATGTAATATTTTGATATGAAAGATTAGAATAGAAAATTAGATAGAAAAATAGGATATTACATGGATAAATGTAATATTTAGTGAGATTACAGAATATTTACTTTTATTACAAAATATTTACTTGTTTATATATAAATCATTATGCGTAATTTCTTACGTCATGATGAATAATTTTATAAAAATATTTAAATGATTCAATAATATTTATATAATTATTTTAGAAATGGTCTAATTAAAAGAATATTGTTAATATCATTAGAATTTCAAAAGATGAATAAAGAATTGTTCTTAATATATTTTATATTTTTATATGTGTTATATTCGTATTAATGCTAGTGCTGTTCATAATCATATTTAAAAATTGCAATCATTCTTTTAGAATGATATTCTAGTTATATTAATAGTTCTCCTTTTATTTCAAAATGAAAGCAAATTTTTTATACAAAATTTATCAATAATATTCACAAAACTTAATCAAAATAATTATTCATAAGCTTAACTTATAAATAATTTGCAAATATAATAATTTATAAATAAAATTATAAATAAATTTTATATCGAAAATTATATAATGATTTATATAATGATTGCTCCTATATTTATTAACCAATTATCAATTTGTAGAATAAATCATAATTATAATATATTCATAGATTTAATATTTAAAGTTTATAATTAATGTACTTAGTATTAAAATTACAAACAAGATATAAAGTAATTATTTTCTTCTAGAAGTATGAATTATACAAAAAAATATTAATATTCCTTGCTTATTAACCCTTCTATAATAATTTCTTTCTATATATTAATAATTATGATTGAAATAAATGTAGAGAGTATAATTAAAAATTTTAATTATTGCGAAATTGGTAAATGTATATATATGAAGAAAAAAAATATAAAATTATAAATAATATATACAGACATTTTTAAAGTATTATGGTATTAAAGTTAGCTTTGTAACACATAATGTATAATTATATTTATTCTAAGAAATAACTATTGACTTATAATATATTACATATCTATACATAAATTTAATACTAAAGTTTCATTTCATTTATACTGTCTAATCACTTTTATATTAATTTAATGGATAATCAAAAATTTTTGTTATGTATATAATTGAAAAACTTAATCTTTATCTCGTTATTAGGTAATAAAATCATATAATAAATAAATATATAGTTAATAAATTAAAATAATATATTTATAAAAGTAAATAACTGCATAATTATATGTATTCTTATAGTTAAAAAGTCAAAGCATCATTAAAATATTTATTAATACCTTTTTAATATTAAAACGAAATATTTAATAAAAAAAATATATTTGACATTCAAATGTCATTTCTCGTCAGCACTTCGCGGACGTTAGTGTCTCTACATGGCCAACTGTTCTCAGTCATTGCAAGTGCATTGAAAAAAGCTATTAGACGAATAAGTATGTTCGTACATATGTTAAAAAAGTGATTGTTTTGATAAGATAAATTTTGTCAGAACATTATTTAATATTATAAATGACTGAATTAAATTAAACTTTTATGATTTTCATTGCATTTAAACTATATTAGTCTCAAAAACTTAAAAACAAACATCTGCAAAAATGTATTCAATAAATATATTCATTTTATAATATTTTCAAATTTTATATTTTATAATATGTAATACTATTGTTGTATGATACTATTTCTGAAAATTATTATGATATAATAATAATCTAATTAGAATTTTAATTTTGACGGAAGCATTTCAAATCAGTTTTCAAAAATATATATTAATTATGAATAAACGTATGAATAAATCTAGAAAAAATGTTTATTTTCTTATAATATTGTTTTACCGTTTCACTAAAGATGTTATATAAGATTATGAAAATTTGTTCTCATTTTATACTATATAATTAGTAATCCTTTACTAATAAAAGTAATTAAAAATTTCAATGTAATATTAAAATATTATTTTTTTTATTTATCAATTAACTTTAACATAATAAGATTATAATATTTCTGAAAATTGTAAAAACAAACATATAAATTATAATTTTACTGCGAAATTATGAAGCTTGAAGTTTATATATCTAAAATCTTTTATACTTAAAATATTTATCTTAAATTTAAAGTTAGTTGAAGTATTCTAATCTAGTGAAAATTGTGCACAATAAATCAAAGACAATTACATCAAACTACTTGAATTATATAAAAATTTTTTTTTAATTTATTTACACTTATCATTTTCCACATATCATTATATAAAATATTAAATGTCTGAATATAATTAATAGTTTATCATATGATATTATGGGCATTATTAACGTAATTGAATTTTTTAAAGAATTAGAATTTAGGATTGTTATTTCTGAATATTGAAAATAAGTTACTTATAGTTTGAATGATAATAAACTTCATGAGGTCTCAATTGTATTATTTATCAAAATGTATTTTCAAAGTATAATTGAAGATACTTTTTGAAAACCAATTATTTTGTTGAGAAAATAATATAAAATTTTTTCAAATTATAGCTAATATATATGCAATTTACAATTCTAAATTTTTATTAAAATTATGTTTATTTGTTAAGTTTATTCTGTTAGCTTACATGTGTAACATTTATCGAATTATTCATATTAAAACCTGTAAAACAAATACAGAACTCTTTTTATTGATTAAATTTATAATTTCTTATAAGAAGCTTGTGTTTTTAATATAAGTAATTATATTTAAAAATAAAATGTAAAATACAAGCTCATTAATTAAATGCCATTAAATTTTTAAAAAAATAAAAATTAGTATATATCTGAAAAATTATAAACCTGAAATTAATGCTATAAAATTAATTAATTTCACCTTATCAGTATGTTTAAGTCATCCATGCATCAATTGTGCCATAGAAAATACAAATACATTAATTTTTATACAATAAATAATTTGAAAAGTTTTAGTCAAATCTATTAATAATGATGCATTGAATTAATAATATATATCATACAATCGCAAACGATAAAGCTAACCAACTCTATCAGTGATTATAGACTTTATTATACACATGATAATAAAGCTTTATAAGTGTTTCCTATTTATAGGCGGCACAGCAGGAGCTGTGGTGGCATCACGGCTTAGCGAAATTCCCGAGTGGAAGGTCTTGCTGGTGGAGGCAGGACCGGACGAACCACCGGGTGCCGATGTACCCAGTATGGTGGCTATGTTCCTCGGGTCAGAAATCGATTGGCAATATAGAACCGTCAATGAAAGCAATGCATGTCGATCAACTGGAAGTTCATGTAGCTGGCCACGCGGTAGAAATCTTGGAGGCACCAGCGTTCATAACGGCATGATGTATATCAGAGGCCATCCTAAAGACTACGATGATTGGGCTGCTCTCGGAAACTACGATTGGTCCTGGAAGGATGTAAAACTCGATTTTGACAATTTTATAAACTTTACTAATACAAGCCCAACATAGAATGCTGCATGACTTAGGCAAGAGAGAAAGTAAAGCTTTTAATTCAATTTAACAGAATTTGTTATCACGATTGTATAAAGCATTAGATATTTACGGATTTTTTTAAAATTCATTCAGTAAATATAAAACTGCAGTAATAGTATGTAATTTTCAGTATACTATAATTAGAGACAATTTACTTAAATAGTTTATATAGTTGAAATGTGTATAAAATCGCTTTTTTTTAAGTAAATAAATTCAGAAATATGTCACTAATATAGAAAGACAATAAATAAAATGTAAACGATTTCATTTTACCTCCTTGCAAGTCAAGCATTATTTTTTAAACATATGTATATATACGTTTAACTTAAATAATTTTAGAGCATAAAACTATTTATTTAATAAAAAATTAGCTAAGTATAAATTAAAAGTTTCCAATTAGAAAACAAACTTAGATTAGAATATCGATCTTTTATATTTTCAGGGCTCAAAATTATTATACAAATTAAGATATTATGCAAATTTGACAAATTAAAATTATCGTTTACAATAATAAAGATTACAATAATTTGATAGATAATGAATTTTTTAGTAAACTCAATAAGGAAGAATTGATTCAAATTTATATATTTATATAATTGATCATTATTTTATATTACATCATTATTTAATTTATATTACTTTGTTAAACATAAACAATAAATTATTAAATACTGGATCTTAACTTGTATTATGATATATGCTTCTTATCGTTTGATGACAAATGAATAAATCAATAGAATAAATAGCTTTTTTAATAGCTTTTTAAAATTTTTAATTACATATTTTTAATTACAAAATATAAACAATCGATTAAGAGTAGATTATTATAAAATTAAAGTTATCCTCATATTCAACTATGGAATGTGTAAATATTTTTATTTATCTATCACGAAAATTTATTATTAAATGTGCAAAGCATCATTTGACATTATAATATCGAGTTCAAATACCAGATCTTTACAAATATCTGAATGTACTTCTATTATGTAAACATAATAAATAATGGTTTATTATTATATTTTTTAAACTAAAATGCTTTAGTAGAATACTTAAAATAATAATTTGTATAAAATTATTACTTTTCCTAATAGTTTTTAAATATTTTCTATTTATATTATTATAAATATATTCGGTACTTCACACAAAAGAATATTTTTATTCAATTTTATTGAAATGATATACCTTTATATATTTGTATAATTATTTTATTATATTTAAGTAAGACATTTGGAAGTCATTAAATTTATATATATTTGCCTCTTTATGTAACAAATTTTTGTTCATTAAGCCATTAAAATGTCAAGTTACCACTTTTGAAAACAAATGGAAATATCATAAAAGACGTATTACAACTTTTATGATAAACTTATTGAATTTACCACGCGTTACTGCACAGCTTGTAGAGCCACATGAAAGACCAATAATTCCGATCATTTCGTTGTCAGGTTTTGCCATACTTTCTGTGTTCTGAGAACAACACTGAGATAGCGCGAGTAGGCAGGACGAATCATGCTCAAGGTGGACCCTTGAATGTTGAACGCTTTCCTTGGCAACCGCCCATTACTGCAGACATACTTTATGCAGCGGCAGAAGTCGGATACCCCATAAGCGAGGACCTCAATGGAGAACGCATTGTCGGGTTTACTGTGGCCCAAACTAACAATCGTAATGGGGTTCGTGTGAGTAGTGCCACGGCTTTTCTCCAGCCAGTGCGCAATCGCAAGAATCTCCATATTATACTTAATGCCACGGTTACTCGAGTCATTACTGAGAATCAGCGAGCAGTCGCTGTTCAGTATTTCAAAAATGGAGAGTTTCGTGTTGCCAGAGCAACTAGGTAACGATTCACCTTTTTATTTTAATTTTTCTTATCAATTTACTTCGGTTCAAACAAAGTGTATTTGATAATTAAATTAAAATAATAATTTAATTTAATTATTAAAAATCATGATAAACAACAAGGAATGAATTTGAGTTATCACTCTCCCTCTTTTACAAAGATTTTTTTTAATATAATTTTAATACTATTTCGTGGTATTATTTTAGTACTATTTAGTAGTATTATGTTTGTATCATTTAGTCATATTATTTTAGTATTATCAGTTTAAAATTTGTATCTTTTCTTATAATTAGAATTAAACGTATATTTATAATGTATATATTATATTTTTATTGTATATATTTTGTATATATATAATTGTATATATTTATAATATATATATATATATAACTGTATATATATAACTTATAATTAGAATTAGGACGTTTGTGCAGTTAAAACATAATTATAAAGCGTACTTTGTATTTTCGTATTACGTTATTATATACTGTCTATTTGTTTTTAACTTAAAAAACTTTTAATAGGATTAGTTAGGAGTATAGTAATTAATTTAAGTAGCACTGGTTTATTAGCATTGAAGCGGCACTGTATTAAATGAAAAGTGGGCGATGTGAATATTTTTAGTTAATCAACATTTGTAAATATTAATTTTCAAAGAAATAGAAAATTTTTAATAGAAATATTCACGATTGTCGGTGAAATTACATTAGCAGGAATTTGGTGATATTAATAATATCATTCAATAATGAAATAAAGAATGTTCATCTCACTTGTATTGATAAGTCGTATACTGCAGTAAGTAGACTTTATATTGTAAATGACATTGACTTACTATCGTGAGCGCTTTAAAACAGGCTGTAATGCCAATAAATTCAGGACTGCCAATAAATAAAATAGTAGCAATTTTTCATGTTGTACTACAACGGAAACCGCTAGTTGTGGAAACATTTATAGTTTATTAACCAAAAATTTGTTAGATATTTTTGTAGGATAGTCTAAGGTTTAAATCATTTAATGTAGAATGATTCAGAATTAATGACAACGGAAACATATCTAAATAAAATGTTTTATATTAATGATTATGATACTATTATTCATATTACATTTGTATATTAAAATAATTATATTTTTATATCAGTATATATCCCTTTATGAAATGCATATACATAGAAAAATTATTTTTTTTAACATATTCACTACCTATAACGTAACTTATAAGTAATAAAAAATTTTACTATTTTTGTGACTTTTGATTTAATTTCCGAAATACTAGTTTGAATAATAAAAATGAATTGTATTTTACATGTACTTATTAAATATATTGGAAAAATATGTCTTTTTAATAGAATCTTTTTAATAGCACTGTTAATTCTATCTTCAAAACCATTTCAATAATAAATATCAAAATTAAAATGATAGTTTGAATTTCGAATTTCGGTTAATTAAAAATAAAGTTTATTAAACATTGTATACTATGATGTTTATTCATATATGATATATACATTTGAGAAAATAATTATTAATTAATTCTTGAAAAGTATTGATATGAATTATCATTTATTTCAGAATAAAAAAACAATACTAAGCGAATATGTTAAATTAATATGTATAAAGTACACTCTTGTAAGAAATCCATTAAAACTTTATATATTTGCTTATAATTAATATGAGTAATATGCTATAGAATATATCTTAATATTTATATTTATTTATATATATTTATTACATTAAAATGTTTCATTTTATACGTATATACTGTTGAATTATTTATATTTAAATAGTTGCTTCATTATTTTATCATTATTAAATCACAAAAATCATACACAAAATAATTATGATTAAAATACGAATGAAGAAAAAATGATATTTTTATTGAAATATTATCGATAATGCATACCAAGATTTAAAGTTTAATAATAGATATACTATACCTCAAAACTTTTAATAATAATAATATTTATTAGTTTCTCTATATAAATATCTTACAATTAATTTTTAAAAACCAATATATTTTACAATACATTTAATAACATATGGAAAGTACATATAAAGAAATTTTACTTAACTCCACGTTGTCAAAATTACATAATTACTTTAGTTACTATATTTTATAAAGGGATAGTGACCTTCTCTGATATCACCTTGCCTGGGTTTTGTTTTAGTATAATGCGTTACAAAACTGACTGCACTTACATATACTTTGTTTTGCCCTCGTGCCTTCACGATGATAAACTTCCAGCACAGTTGACTTAGTTATTTTCGCCCACAGGAAAGATTTAGACGAATAATGAAATAAGTGAAATATAATTAAAAAATTTTATTGACAATGGCAACGACTAATTATGGAAATATAACTTTTGTATATACTGATTTATTACTCTGAAATATGTATATTAAAGTATAATCTGAAATATAACAATATATATTATCATAAATACGAAAACATTGATATTATTTTTAATAAAATGTTAAATGATTTGAAATATAGTTGATTTCTCTCTCTCTCTCTCTCTCTCTCTCTCTCTATCTATCTTTCAAAGTTTATTTCTTTTGAATTTATAATTCATTTTCTGTTAGAAATCTGATCTATTAATTTTATGTTCATGTTTATGTCTCCTTAATACATTCATTTTTAGACAGTCTCTCAAATTCTCGTTTCGTTTTGTCATCAATCTTTTCCGTATCTTTTCTACTCATTTCTAAACTTTTTTTTCCTTTGAAAACTTCAGAACTCAAATATTATGTTGAAAATATGTGTATATATTGTTAATGGAATTGCTATTGATGTTACGATAACAGAAATCGTTAAAATAATTATTTATTCATTTTAAACAGTGATAATTTTAGGAATAGTTTTAGCATCTATACGCTGTAATATATTCATATAATTACATAATTTATAATTGCATGTGCTTTCTTTCTTGAAAAAACAGGGAAATTATAATATCGAGTGGAGCGGTTGGATCTCCTCATCTTTTGCTACTCTCAGGAATTGGTCCCGCAGAACAACTTCGAGCAAAAAATATTAGTGTTGTGAAGGACTTGCCAGGTGTCGGAGAAAATCTTCAAAACCATGTTTCTTATACAGTCTCATTTACGATAAATGAACCAAATTTGTACGATTTGAATTGGGCGGCTGCTACCGAATACATAGCCTTTCAAAAAGGTCCAATGGCTTCAACTGGACTTTCGCAGATCACCGGTATACTTCCATCTACTTTTACCACACCTAACCATCCAGACATACAAATATTTTTTGGTGGTTACCAAGCGGCATGTGCAACCACTGGGCAGGTTGGTGCTGCGTTAGATAATGGAAAACGAAGCATTAGTATATCACCAACCAATTTGCATCCTAGGAGTCGTGGTAAGGGGCATAATCTAATTATGAGAGAAATATATATGTCATCGGTATTAAATAAAAGTATTTAATTTTAAATTGATTGAAGACTGTACCCTCCTCAAAAAGTACACATATATATATTCGTACTTGTAATAATTTATTTGATAAAAAAGTTTATTTTATTAAAATATTCTACTGCAGTACATATTTTATACTTTATATTTATAATTATATTTTATATTTATTTACATAATATATTAAATTTCGTTTAATATTTTACAATAACATTTTCAATAAATTATTTAAATTAATGTTTTAATTTAGTATTTAGGTTATAGTGATATTATGATTTAAAGATAAAAATACTTTCTAGTAATTTATTGAGATTAAATTCGAGTTTTAGGTACATTACGATTGGCCAGTAACAATCCCTTTGTGCATCCGATTATTCAACAGAACTACTTAACAAATCCACTAGATATAGCCATATTAGTACAAGGAATTCGTGTAGCTCTTTCATTAGCTAATACTACAGTATTGGCTAAATACAATATAACATTATCAAATACACCGAATCCCGCTTGTTCGAGATTTTCATTTTTGAGCAATGAATATTGGAATTGCGCCGTCATGCAAGATACCGGTCCCGAAAATCATCAAGCTGGTTCTTGCAAAATGGGTCCACCAAGTGATCCTTGGTCTGTCGTTGATCCTGAATTAAGGGTGTATGGTATAAAAGGACTTCGAGTTGCTGATACTTCTATTATGCCTAAAGTAAATATTATTAATAATAAAATGCATTTAGTAAAGTTATAAATTCCATAATTTTCAATTATTCTGTTTCATAGTAATTTTAAATTTTTCAATATTTCATTAATCATAGATAATATTATATATTATAATTATTTGTATAAAACGGATTGCAAATGAATATATGTGTGTGTGTGTGTGTGTGTGTGTGTGTGTGTGTGTGTGCGCGCGCGCGCGCGTGCGTGTACATAAAAAATAAATACTTTTCTTTAACTTAAAACTTTTCCTGTAGGTTACATCTGGAAATACAGCCGCTCCAGCTATGATGATTGGAGAAAGGGTCGCTGCTTTTATAAAAAAAGATTGGGGTGCGACACCTACAGAATGGTATGAAAATATTTGTAATTAGTATTATATAGTTATATTATATTATAGATATATTTTGATATATAATTGATGAAAAAAGAACTTCGTAGAATATCTAAAATTTAATATTTTTATTAGTTCTCACATGTCAAAGGATAATTCTCTGGATCTACTCCACTGGGGGATTAAATATCTCGACTTAAATCACAATATATGGTGATTTTAATCCTGGAATAATATATAGAAATAATACTTCTAATTGATATTTTGAAAAGTTCATTTTCGAATATAATTTAAAATTTTCCCTTTAGATAGAAATTATTTAATAAATAATAAATATAATGAAAATAATTGTTTATAATAAAAAATTTTAATTTTTATTATATATTAAATTGATAGAGATTCTATCTGAGATCACAAATGCAATTAAATTTAAAATAATAAAAAAAAATACAGATCATTATGAATTATATACATATAAATTATTCCTTTTCAGATAATTTTAATTTTAAATTCTTCAATGCTTACTTAATTTATCTACCTATTTATTATAGTACATTTTTATTATATATTCATTAAGTTTATGTTAATTATTATAGTGTATCAAATTTAAGACCAAAGTAATGTAAATAATTATTAATAAGCTTTATTGTATTGTATATAACTTTAAGAACTGTAAATAAATCAATATTATTTACATTTCAGTTATGTCTCAATTTTTTAATTTATCTTAATTTTACAACTACACCATAGTTTATTTTTCTAATAAATGGTAATATCTATTCATCGTATTAGAAATGGGACAAATTCGAATATTTGTATAAAAGTCCAATAAAATATGAAAATTAATAAATTAAAGAATCGTTTGCTTCAAGTATACTTTTATAATAAATTTAATTCATCAATTTATATAGAACTCTTCTAACACTATTATTTGACATTTCTTGGAGTTTTAACTTTAGTAATCTCTAAGAAACAATAAGCAATTTCAAATGAAAAGACTATTATAAAGATTTGATTAAAACTCACCGTATTGTTAATAAAGTACATAAAATAAAATCACAAAAAGTTCTTCGGAGTAAATATCTATAAATCGTATTTTAAGACTTTTATAATATAATTTGAAATATTGTGAATTCTATAGGTTATATTCAAAAATTGTTAATTATCTATTATATACTGTTATTTAAAATTCACTACATTATATATACTTATGTAAATGTATTATTTAATAAATAAATAAATAAATAAATATATATATATATATTTATTAAATATTGTGAAATGTATATTTATTAAATTTTTATTATATTGTTATATATATATATATATTCATATTACCATACTTTAATCATTATCATTGCATTTATCTATATTAATAATATACATGCACATACGTATATGTGAGAAATCTTAATATAAATATATGATAATTATTAAGAAAAATAGTTGAAATTGACAAATGAAATTTCGTGAAACATCGTATCATATAAAACCATTATAATTTATTTTTAAAACTATACTTTTTCGTAGTTAGAATAATTTTGAGTATAAAGAAAGAAGTTCGTTCTCTGCATTGATTATTTATTATATTTTTCGAGATAGTAATTGATAGATTATATAACTATAAATAGAAGTTATAAATACTTTGGTAGTATCTGTATTTAATTTAAATAAATTAAGAAAATTTTTTAAATTTACATTCATTATACGAAATGTTTTTGTCAGAAATATAAAAAAATATCACTTAAGATAATCAACTGATAATCTTTAATATTTATAGTATTGTAATATGATTTTATTAGAAAGTATAGATTATATTTAATATCACATTTATAGAAAAATAAAATGATAATAAGTTTCCAATTATTAATTTAAATAATAATAAATAAGAAAATATGAAAATTTTTTTAATAAATTAAGATCATACATAAATAGATACCATACATAATAGATTCCTTCATTCTTCAGTTATAAATTTTGTAATTGAAAAGAACAATAAATAGAAATACTGCATTAATTTTTTTTAATTTTTATGTATAAATATTTGATAATGCACGAATAAAATAATAATAATAATTCCACGCTAATAAAATTATGTAAATTAGCAAGCTAATAGGAAACAATAGATAAATTAAAATATTATTAACGTTTGATAAAGATTTTGAGTAATTACAATCTTACATGATATAAAATTCAATCATCTATAATAATTTCTATTGATTTCTATTGGTTCTCTAATTTTGAACTTTAATTATGAATATCGGGCTATGTCTCATCCAGCTACTAGAATGGAAAATCATGAAGGAAACTTTTCACTAACACAATTAAGTTTATGAAATAACAACGAAATACAACAATTATAATGAAGATTATTCTAAAACGTTAGTCAGGAAATATTTTCCTTAATGTTATGAAAATTGAATTATAAAACAATAAAAATAGTATAGAAAATTAATTATTAAACTACTTAAAATGAATTTAAATGATAAAAATCGTACATGTAAATAGGAAGAAATACATGCCTTATATTCAAGTAAATATTCATTGATAACATATATACAATCCTTAAATTGCAGTATAAACTATTTAAACTTTCTGCAATTTTAATATCTTCGATTACTTAACTTTTTATTAATTATGCATAATATTTCTGTATAGGAAATTATAGTGAGAATAAACTAAAAATACAAGTTTTTATATTTTTCGTTTGTATTATTAAATTAGTTACTGTATTATTAATAAAATGAAGTTAACGATATTATATGAAAATTTTTATTTTAAAAATAAATAAATACTATATTAAACTAATATGTATATTTAGTATTTTATATATTCAATAGTTAACAAGTTTAAAATAGAAATAATAAAAGTACAATAAATTGAACGTTATATATAGAGTTCTAACAAATTGAAAATTTACAAATAAAACTTTGAAAATCGGAAGAAATGCTATAACTAGTAAAATATAGAATAAACGAATAATTATGTTTTTGAATTTCACGCGAGGAAATAAAAAAGAATCAGTAAAACCTTAAAGACATATAGAAGATTCGTAAGTTATTATTTTAGTTTATATCAAGGTTTAATCGTTAAGAAAATTTAATAAAATAAAAGTTTAGTTCAATTTCTAATTTCACTCTCGTACGATATATATTTTTATCTAAATATTAGAGTATTCCATCTGCTCTATCAATTACATTAATCTTATAATACTTTATACGAATAAAATTATTATTCAATTCTAAAAATATTATCATGCAGATATTTTAAAATTGCTATACTTCAAAGAACCAAATTTTGTAATTGTTAGTATACATAATATGTAATATTTTTCTGTACAAAGCATTAGTACTATAAAAATGTATTTTACTGCACATAATATAATATGTAAAAATTATAAAAATTTTCAAATTAATTATTATTCCGATTGTGATAATTAATTTAATTAACAATATAGAATTAGTAATGAGCATAATAGTATAGTATAGTATAGCAATAATAGTATAATATTACTTCAGAAAAAATTACCAAAATTAAATTTTTACAAATTTTCTCATTTTATAACTTAATATACCATTTATTTTAATTTTCCATGATACTGTATTCTACAGCTTTACAAACTTTGTTCGCTACTTTCCTTATGCAAAATAGAACAAAAGTACATTTAGAACTCGTGACTCTGTGTGCATGTAAATGAGGTTATTAGATAAGTGTGATATGTACATTTAGGACAGCCAATGGTGGTAATGTAGAAAGAAGCACGATGAAGATATGGGAGTTGTTATACTCATCTATATAAGGCACCTTACTCAGCAAATGTGATAACAAATCCAAGGCAATAACTCTCTGTCAACTAAAACAGAATCAGCCGATTAAACTAGTTGTATTCGAAGCCAAGATGGAATTAGGAAGTACGAAAAATTCTGAACTCTCAATTCGTTCGCATTTTCTGACTAGTACATATATTATTTTTCTTGATTCTGTGAAAAAACTTAATTTATAAATGGATAGGAATCATTTAACTGCATTTCTTTTTTTTAGAATTTACAGCAAATATAAATATATTAGTAGCAATATACTTTTGATTATTTCATATAAAACATATAATTTTTAAAAAACATTTAAAGAATTAGAGAAAATGTTAAATCACTCATTAAAACAAATTTTTTATTTTAATAAATAATTTGGTTTAATAAATAAATATATCAATAAAATTAATAAAATTTATTCAGTGTTATTAATAATTACATACCAACTATAAATATTATATTTTTTAGAATAGTATTAAAAATTGTGAAAAAGAAATATTTGGATATATATTTAAATATATCTGATGTATCTTGTTTTAATAAAATAAAATTGTTTTTCTAAACAAAACTGGATCAATGAGTTATTGGTTTCCTCGATGGACGTATGAATACGTATGTATTAATTTAAAAGGTCCTTGGGAAAATAATAACTGTTACAATACAGATAGGTTTTATTATATTACAGAATATGAGATAAATCCTGAAATATAATTGAAAAATTAGAAGGCCAATAATGTAATAAATATAATTGTGAAATTGTTCTTATATAATTATTAAGTTTTTCTGTCATTTATATTAAAATGCTTTTATATTTAAGGGTATGTTCTAAAAAATTTTTATATCGATTTAAGCGATATATTAAGCGATTATAATAACCGATGTTGATAAAAAGTGACTTATTTTACAAAAAAATTTATTTGAAATCAAGGATTCATTTTAATTATATAAATGTTTATAAATTACCCCAACTGAAAACCTATAAAATATTATATATTATTGATTATATAGAGTTTAAATCACTTGTTATGGGACTATTGCTCTATTGAAATTCAATATATATTGCATATAAACATAATTTTAAATTTCTAAGAACAAAAAAATTGAATAAATATTTATAATACGTAATGTAAACTTTAATAGTAAAATTATATCATGAATTGAAATATCTAAGAATTTTTATTTCTGTAAATTTTTTATTTATTTTAAATTTCTGTATAACAAATTATACAATAAATGCTTTTTTTTAGAAAAAAAACCTTTAATTTAATATTTTTAAATTATCTTATGTATTTTGAAAGTTGGTTATACCTATACTTCATTTGGTTGTAATAAAAGATTAAAATTTGCATGAAAAATCCTTTCATTAATTTTTTTCAAAACATCTAAAAACATTTAATTGAATATAATTTTATTG